CTCAGCGAGACGTCTGGGGCTGAGAGGAGAGAAAGCGGAGCGCATTGTGTCTCTGCACAACCTCCCCAGGGCAGGGCCATGTGAGCAGGTGGAACGGTGCACGCCTGGCTCTGCCCATGTGCGTGCAGTTGCTGCGATGCCAGATTGACTCCGGGCTTGGGAACATTCCCCTTCAGGCCGTCACACTGCTGGAGTGGCAAAGTGGGGGCCTGGAACCCTCCTCCCTCACCCCGGGAAGGGGACGGTGACACAGGACAGCTCTCCTTGGTCAGTCCCAAGGACCTGCTCGGCACAGACCCCCTGCGGGCAGCACCCACCTGAGCTGGAGGCTTTCAGCGCGTTCTTCAGCAGCTCTGAGGACACTCTGATGGACGCTGCTGAGGGTGGCACGCTGCCCTCTCCTGTGGCACATGGCTGATTGCTGGCTGTCCCTGCCTCGGGCTCAGGCTGCTCCTTGGATGCCCTCAGGAAGGTCTCCACAGGATCCTGGGGTGCAGGCAGCGAAGCCACTTTGGAGGAGGGGTCCGGCCTGGGGGGGCTGCTCTCAAAGTGCAGGCACTGCAGCATGTCAATGGTGCATTCGCTGAGGGGCAGGCAGATGCCCTCTCTGTCTGGGGACAGGATGGGCGAATCGTCCGGGAGGAGATCATCCAGGGCTTCGGGTGAGTCAGAGCCACTGCCCAGGATATCACGTAAACTGTAGTAGAGGGCACAGGAGATGGTCAGAGGCAGATCCAGCTTGGTGTCTGTGGCCGAGCCGAGGGGCAGCGTCAGCTCCCGTTTGGTCCCAGGGAGGAGCTGGTCGATGGGGAAGGTGAAGGTGGTGGCCGAATCCACAGACTCCTCCTCTAAGGCACAGGGGCTGGCCAGGAGCTGAACGCACAGGGTCCAGCCCTGCTCCAGGCTGTACTCGCTGCAGTTCTCCAGCAGGCAGGAGATGGTGACGGTGTCACGGAGCAGGAGGCAGCTCCAGTTGGCAGTGACTGTGCAAGCAATGGGCTTCTGGCCCTCCTGGCTGGACAGCAGAGCTGCGCTCACGTTCATCACCTGGTTGAGGCTGGCCAGGGCACGGTTCTTTTGGTCCACTGCCTTCTTCAGGAAGGAAACTCTGGAAGGACAAAGCGCAGAGCTCGAAAGCAGGAGGGCCGGCAGTGGGGACAGTGGGTCTGCAAACGGGGTTAGCAGACAAACCCCAATCAGCTGAGTGGACCCCAAGTGCGACCCGCCAGCCAGCCCTGGGCTGCAGCTCCCAGCGATGACAAGCTGCAGATGGGTGGGCTACAAGCCCCGCTCACAGCTTTGGGAATCTCCCACCGGAGGGGGAACCTCCTCCCCAAGCACAGATGGCCGCAGAGGGCTGAGCAAGCACTGCCCTGCCCTGCCTGTGACAGGCCTGGCAGGTGCTGAGGGGTGTCTGGGCACGCTGGCACTGTGCCTTGCCCTCCTTCTGTCACCAAAGCTGCAAGCAGCAGCGTGCCTGCACAGAGCAGCAGGCAGGGCTGCCAGCAAACTATTTTTATGCCACTGAGGCTGGGGGCTTCCCTTCCACCTGCTCTGGGAAAGGAAACATCGGAGGTGGCACTGCAAGAGGCCTTACCATGCAGGAGCTGGTACACCTCTAGGTACCTACACCCCACGGCTCACACAGGGCCAGCAGCAGCACAGCAGCCCTGCCCTTACCTCTCTGAGGTGTTGCCTATCCCGGACAGCAGTGCCTTAATCCTCCGGCCAGCCTCGGCGGGCGTCAGCTCCACATCAGCATCCTCGGGGCTGCATAAGCCACAGGTCATGAGGCGGCCTTTGGCAGACAGGGCCAGCAGCTCTGATTCACCTGTGGGGCAGCACGGGGTACCGAGGGGTGCTCAGCCCATCGGCACGCCGAACAGCAAGAACTTACAAAAAGGAGAGGGTCAACAAGAAAGGATGAAGGACGGAGCCCGACACGGACCACCACAAGGTGTGTGGACGCACGCAGCTGGGCAGCTCTCCTGCCCCCATCCACCCCAAGACCCAGCGCGCTCCCCGCGGTCGGCGGTACCTTCTGATGCCCGCGAGGACAGGGAGAGGGCCACGACGCTACAGATACTTAAGCTGGCTGGGGACAGGACGGGCGGCAGGACGCCGCCGCAGCTCTCCGTGTCCTCGGGGTCAGAGGCCTCGCTGACCCAGTCCAGGTCGACGGCGGAGATGTCCGAGTGCGTGCTGTAGTACATGCGGCTGCCGCTGCCGCAGGCGGCGCAGAGGATGGGCCCACGCAGGTAGTACTCCCTGAGCTCTGGCACCGTTGTCTCATCCCTCTGGTCTGCCTTGACGGCCACCATCTTGCCGTAGTGCCCCACGGCCACCACGCAGTCACAGCCGGCGTCGCCAAACAGCGGATCGTCCTCGGCGTCATCTTCCTCCTCCTCCTCCTCCGCCGCCCGCCGCTCCGTCCGCAGCGCCCCGATGAAGACGATGGGCTCTTCCAAGTGGTGGAGGATCTTCACGGGGGGGTCCTGCCCGGAGACGTCGTGGCAGCCATCGGCGGGCGGCGAGCTGAGAGCCTTCAGCGGCACAGAGCACAGCTGTCCGTCCGGGAAGCCGCACAGGATCATCGGGGACTCCAGCATGGCGGCGTCGATCCCGAAGAGCAAGCTGAAGAGGGGCTCTTCCAGCACGAAGCCCCCCGAGCACCACGGCCCCTCCGCGCTGCCCGCCGTGCCCGGGGAGGAGGCGCAGCACAGCACGGGCAGGAAGCGGGACGGAGCGCCGTCTCCCTCCTCGGCGGGCGCGGGGCCGGGGCAGAAGCCCACCTCGCTGACCTGCCGGTAGGGGGCGCTGTCCTGCTCGGGGCGCGGCAGCTCGTGCAGCTTCATCCACCATTTGCCGTGGGCCTGGGACAGGGTGATGACGAAGTTGTTGAGCAGAGTGAACATGCACAGGCTGGAGTCTGGGAAGATGCAGGCGTCTGAGTCCACGGGGAAGACGCCGGAAGGGCAATTGCTTTCTTGGCCGTCGCCATCCGTCTGCTCCATTAACCTTCAAGCAAACAGGCAAAGGCTCAGAGCCAAGGCTCGGGGCGAAGCCAGCGCTTCTCTTGGCTGCCTCATCCCCTGGCCCTCAGACCAAGCTCCCCACAGCAGGGCAGGAGCAGCGGCCCAGAGAGAGCCGAGGGCCAAACCCCGCGCTGTACAATGCACGTGCATGCCCTGTGCTGCCACCTCACCTGCTCTGCTGGTCCAGGGACACGCAGTAGATGCCGCTGTGGGCGCAGAGGATGTACAGCTGTCTTGTCAGGGGCAGCAGCTCCACGTGCCACACCTGGTCGGGGCACCTGTACACAGCCTGGGTGGAGAAAGGGAAGGGTCGTGGTCCCACTGAGCCCACAGGAGGTGCCAAGGAACCCCGGTGCCCATGCAGCTAGGCAGAGAGGCGTACTGTTGGGTAAAGAGGGAGCAGCTTGCTGAGCAGTGCTTCCCCCTAGGCAGCCCCAAAGAAACTGGGAACGAAAGCAGTGATTTCCTGCAGAGGAACATGGTGAGCACTTCCAGGAATTGGGCTGTCACCGGGCAGTGCTGCAGCTGGCACTGCGCTCGGGTTCATGAGGCTGCGGTGCTGCTCCTGTCCGGGCAGCGGCTGCGCATGGTGGGTGGGAGGGAAAAGGGAGGGAAATGGCAACCTGAAAGCCCATACATGATCTACTTTCCTGAGAAGGAACGCAGTGTAGGAGGCAAATCCTGATATTACAGTGATGGCTTTCTTAGAAATGATAATAAGGACAAATTAAAAAAAGAAGCTGTGTATAACTCAACACGACGACTGCTGTTAGTCACAGCGGAGACAACAGTGAAATCCTTTGTAGATGAGAAAAGAAAGGGACTTTGCTTTGTTCAGCGTTCGCCTTGCAGGGCCCCGGGGGGGCTCAGGCAGCAGCACCCCACTGCCCCAAAGCATCCCACCCCCTCTCATTGACACAGCCTGGGATGGAGGAGCCCGGGGGGGTCCCAAGGTCTCCCCACTTCCTATCCCGGCAGCAAGGACCACTCACCTTCAGCACCTTGCCCTCTTGGTCGTAGATGTAGACGAACTCGCTGCCATTGCAGAGGTAGATCTCGCTCTCGTGGCACAGCACGCGGGGTTTGCCGGCCACCAGCCCCCCCACCGGGCAGCAGAAGCCAGCCAGGTAATCCACCCGGTGCCCCACCTGTGCCATGGTGCCTGGGGCATGGGGATGGTGCTCAGCACAGAGGGGGGAGGGGGGAACAGGGACAAACCCCAAGGCCACAGCCAGCCCCCCTGGAACAGAGACCAGCTCGGCACTCTCCAGCTCACCCCACAGCCCCCCCGGCCCCAAACCCCCACACACCAACCCCAGGCCTCACATTTTCATTCCTTGCCCTAAGCCCCCCCCAGCCCCACATCCCCCAACCCCAGCCCCCCCACCTCACCCTGCATACCCCTGGCCCCAAATCCCCCCGCTCCATCCCCGTCCCCATCACACACCCCGCAGCACCCCCAACCCCACACCACCCTCCCCCAAGCTTCCCCCCCAGCCCCACACCCCCCACCCATCACCTCACCCTGCAGCACCCCCGACCCCGAATCTCCCCCATCCCCCCCAATAACCCCACCCCCATCCCCACCGCAGCCTTCTCTGCCCCAAATCCTCTCCCCAGACCCTCACCCCTTACCCCCAGCCCCAAATCTTCCTCCCAACGGGAACCCCGATCCCCACCCTACAACCCTCCCCAACCCCACACCCCCTAACCCCTCCCCCACCCTCCACCCCCCGCTGCGTCCCGGAGGGGCTGCGGGTACCGGGCCGGGGGGCGCGGGCGGCTCCGCTTTACGGCTGCGCGGCGGCCGCCGCAATGGGGCGGAGATTTTGCGACAGCGGCCGTAAAGCGCCGATGGGCGGACTCCCCATTGCGGGGTGGGGAGGTGGTTCGGTCCCACCCTCCCGATGTCCGGGCTGGGGGTCAGGGATCAGGCGGCAGCGCTGTGGGTGTGAGGCTTTATTAGCGATGCGGTGGGGCTCAGGGTGAGCTGTGGTGCTACTTCAGGGCTGGCTGGGGCAATCCCCGGCGGCGCGGGCCTGGCCCGGGGGCAGTGCGGGACCCGGGAGCGGTGCGGGGCCCGGGGCTGCGGCTCAGCTGATCCACGAACGCTTCCACCTCAACGAAGCGCCCCGAGAGCCGCCCCAGCTGCTCCTTGAGGGCGCTGAAATCCTCATACAGTTCATCCAGCGCCCCCGACAGGGAGCGGATCCTGTGCCGGGAGCGGAATGAGGGCTCCGGCTGCCCCAGGAGCCCCCCGCAGCCCCCCGGCCCCGCTCCCGCCCGCCGCTCACCGGCCGTAGTCGGGCAGCACGGTGTGGTGGTGGAACAGCAGGAGGTTCCGCAGCTGCGAGGTGATGGCGAACCTCCAGTTGTCCAAGACGAGCGTCAGGTTGGCGCAGCCCCGCGTCACCCGCCCGGCTGTGGGGATGGGATGGATGGGGCTGGATGGGGCAGGACAGCCCCCAGCCCGGCTGCAGGCTGTGCGCCCGTTGCGGTGGCCGTGCCGTGGAGGGTCCCCAACGTTACCGTCCGCTCGCTCGTCCCACGCCGTCGGCTGGCGCTTCAGCTTGGCCGCACCGCCCAGAGCCGCGAGGAGCAGGAGGGGGAGAAGCCGCGCCATGGCTGGAGGTGGCGCGGTGAGACGGAGCCCGGCTCTCGGGGAGCAGCTCCGCGGTGACCTCAGCCCCGCACCAGGACGTCGCTACCGGGCGCCGGCCCAGATGGAGCCGGGCCCCGCATCTCCCTCCGGGCCTTTAAGCGGAGCAGAGCTCCCGGCCCCGCCGCCGGGACGCATCGCCAACAGCGCCGCAAAGGGAACCCGGGGCGGGGGGGAAGCGCCCGGCCCCGTGGCCGCCGGCTGGCGTGACCCCGATTGCAGGCCCGGCACGCGTGACCCGTTCCTGCCTCTTACCTGTGCTGGGAGCCGCCCGCAGACGAGGCAGCTGCTCGCCGGGCTCGGATCCGCCGGCTCTGGCTCCGTGCAGCTGCCGCTGTCCCTTTTTAACAAGCGGGCCTGGCGCGAGGCCCGGCCGCACGCGGCTGTGCTGCTGATTGCAAACAGACCGGCAGGGCTGCAGGCAGGGCACGGGGCGCCGAGGGCAGCGTCCGTCCGTCTGTCCGCCCGACCCTGCCAGAAGGACGGCCGCGGTCCGGGAACGGAGCGCAGGAAGGCGCGGTGCTGCCTCTTGTTTCAGGTGCTTTTATTCAACGTTACTCGCAGACCCTGCGACCGGGTCGTTCAGTCCAGGCACCGCAAACCGCTGCAACCCCAAACACCAACAAACCGAGGGGAAAAGCAAACCGCAGCCACAGCCCGAGCGCCCCGCGGCAGGGGCGGCACCGGCAGCCGCTCCTCAGCACGAGACGAAGCCCACGGGCAGCAGCGAGGGTCTCCGCGCCCGTCCCGGGGCCCGTGCCAGGACGGGGCCTCACGCCTCCCTCCTGCAAAGCGGCACGAAACGGTGCTAAAACCGGAGCCCCGGGAATTGAACCGAAACCCGAATCACCAGGGGCGGGGCAGCCCCGAGACAGGGCCACAGGGCACTGCCCGCCCCTTTCCAGCCCCACAGCAGCCCCTAGCCAGGCTCTAAAGCAGGGGGAGAGCAGCAAGAGTGTAGCCCGGCCCCACCTCCAGCATGGTGCCCGGGGGGGACGCGCACAGAAATTACTGGGTACTGGAGAAGAGGCCTGACTTACGTGACCCCCCAGCACGTTCCCCACTATCTGAGCGGACAGCAAAGCCTTTGGGGAAGGAACAGCCCTCCTGCAGCCCCCAGGAACGACCCAGGCTGCCGTAGCATCCCTGCAGCCAGAGAGAATGAGGCTGCGGGTGCAGCGCCAAGCCGTGAGCTGGCACGTGCCCACCCCTCATCCATTGCCAGGGATCCTATCCTGCTCTGGGAGCACTGCCAGCACACATAGTCTGGCCCGGCAGAGCTGCTGCCTGATCCAATGCTGCTAACAGTCATCTGCTCACCCCGCATGGGCTGTTTAGCACGAAAGCTGTGGGTACGGCCGGGCCAGGGCTGCCTGGAAAGCCAAGGCTGGTGGCAGTCAGCCACAAAGGCAGGAAAAGGGGAGCGGGGAGCAAAGCTGGGGGCAGGGAGACGCCACAGCCTCCCCGCCTCCTCTGCAGGGTAGGGGATGCTGCGGGCAGGGGAGAGGGAAGGGGGGGATAGGCTGCGGCCGGCCCCACACAGAGCCGCCCTGAGCCCTGCTAGGCAAAGGCCCATCCAGAGACTGAGGTGAAGCGAGAGGCCGGCATCAGGCCAAGCCCAGGGTGCCCACCTCACGATGTGACAGCAGGGCTGCCCCTGGAAGGAGAAGAGGGGCAACCGAGGAGAGCTGGAGCGGGAAGGGGAGGGGTCAAGCACCACTCCTGCTGCTCAAGGGTTTGCTCTGTATTGGAGTCGGCCGCCGCACTGCTGTGGCTAGGTCCGGGGCAGGCTGCACATCTCGCAGTGGTCCGTGCCTGGCTGGTTCATGAAGGTGCAGTGCTGGCAGGCCCACATGGCTGCCGACACGGCGTGTGTCGAACCGCCCACAGCACCATATTCATGCAGTCCTGGCAGCTGGACACCAACCGTGCCTGCGAGAGAAAGAGCAGGGTCAGAGCAGGGAGAGGTGCTGGGAACGGGCAGGAACCCTGCCTACATCCTGCCCCGGCAGGCAGGAGCCTCCCTGCCCACGAGCTGCCTTCACCCCCAGCACCAGGCGCTGCTCCCAGGCACGGACAGATCTCAGGACTGACACAGAGCACCGATGACCCTGTGCTGTGCCCACACCAGCCAGCCCAGCCCACGGCCTGAAAGACGAAGGACCGTGTCCCAGGGACCCCATTTCTTACTGCAGAGCTGCTCGATGGTGGCCCACTGCTCTGACTTCTTCCAGGTCTGTGCAAGCTCCTCGTTTTTGGTCCTCACAGCTTCCAGCAACAAGCTGATGCTGTCCTGAAAGCCAAAAGAGGGATATCAGTGCTGGATACTTCTCTTGCAAACAGCCTGCAGCTATGACCCAGGGCCTTCCAGCCCTCCACTGGTCACACTGAGGCAGAGCTGCAAGTCTGACTTTTCTCCGTTTTCTAAAGAGCCTTTGGGGTTGCAACAACAAATGATGTTGGGGAGTAAGACTGAACTTATCCCTTCTGCTCCCCCCAGCGTTCAGATGCACTCTAAAACCCAAAGGCTTCAACTCCCTCTGCTCAGAGGCTGCAGCTGGAAGCTGTGCTGCCCTGTGCTGTGCACACTGAGGCCGATTCCAAGCAGGGCACAAATGTTCCCAGTGCAGCTGTCTCTGGAAGCACCGTGCCCAACCCCCAGCCGTGTGCAGCCCCAGCCTGATCTCCAGCTGCCCAGGGTCAGCCCAGCTGCCCCGCACATGCGCCCTCTTGCAAACACATGGCTCGTTCTGCTGGCATGCTGCTTGAAACAGGAAGGTCCGAGGGTCCAGATGTGAACTGGGGGCCTGGGCAACCAGCAGTACCGTGCCAAGAGAGGCAGAGATGCATGAGCAGGAAGCTGCTGGCCTCACAGAGATCTGGGGGCTCTGATCTTGTTATCGTTACAGGATATTTTTGATTCTGAGATATTTTTTATAGATGTTTCCAGCTCTCTGAGCCACGGCCAAGTTGGCTCCATCCCGGCTGCGACCATCCTAACAGCCCTCACCCCTCACTGCTCTGATCAGTGCTCTGGGAGCTCTCGGCCCAGCCGGAGGCTTCAGTTTCACTTTTAAGCCCCCTGCTGAAAGGTCAGTCTGGAAGAACAGGCGTGGGGCCAGCTGCATGTCCCCAGAAGGCATGGGACGTGCCTGGAGCTGCGCCGGTGTCCCCCATGCAGCAAGAGGGCCTCAGTGACACCGACATGTGGCCGTCTGCTGTCGCTTACGTACCCGCAGAGGCATGACCTCGTTCGTGACCAGGAAGAGGAGCAGATGGAAATCGGAAACGATGTCTAAGAAAACAGAGGAAGTATTCTGGGACAGGTAGGTGGCCAAGCTGTGGAAGTCCTGCAAGACAGGAAAGTAAGAAAAAGAAGTCATTTTCCCTCCACGTGATAACTTTGATTTCCTATTCAGATCCACTAACAGACCTGGTAACGCTCTTGTCCTCTTTCGTGCAACATGCAGATCATCCTGAGATCAGACCATCTGAAATCAGCCTGGCTGTGCTGCAGCTAACAGCTTCCAGAGAAAAAGGGGCCACGTTACCCCTCCTCTCCCAGTAGCACATCCAGAGCTGATCCCAAACCCACAGTACTGAGCAGAGGCAGTGAGCTAAAGGCAAAGCCTGGTCCCTGAGGAAGAGGCAGGCGAGGCAGCCCCTCCATCCCCCGCCTTTCTTCCCTGCTCTCAGTGTGCAGGAGCCCTTCATTCGTGGCTGCTTTTGGAGGAAGCTCCTTTAGCATGGCCTCCTAGCAGAAACTAGCTGCTTGCTTGAAAGCAACTCAAGTCTTCCACGTGCTGGCCAAGTCCCGTGCGTGCCTCAGACTGTGCAGCAGCTGCCTCTGCTCAACACTATGAGCCTCATCCAGCAAAAGGTCTCTGTGTTTGAAGTATCAGCCCAGGAAGAGAAGATGGTGCTGTTGGAGCTGGAGCAACAGACCCTCGTCCTGCTGCTGTCACAGTGTCTCTCTGAGCTCAGAGCTCAGCTGGGTTGCTGCAGTCCCCACCTGTGCAGGGTTGTATCTGGAGCCCACAGCCCTGGCAGAGCACGAGTTGGCCCAGAGCTCAGCCCTGAGCAGGGGGAGCACACCCAGCCCCCACCTGCATGCAGGCAGTTTGGCAATGCTGGACCGAACCACGGAAGGGTGATGGAAGGGCACAGCTGCAGCTGTCCTTTAGCAGACATCAGAAAGTATAAGGGAGACAGATGACATCTCTGTATGAAATAAAGCTTTGCCATCGATCGCTTACCTGAGTTTCTCCCAGCACATCATGGTTCTCGATGGGAAATGGATTTTGAGAAATAGAAAAAGTGTAGACTGGATCCTTGGGGAAAGTTGTAGTAATCTGAAAATCCAAGAAAGGACGATCAGAGCATTAGCAGCAGGAGAGGTAAAAGGGCTACAGGAAGAAAGGCTTCTGAGCACCGAGAGCAGCCATGGCTGCATATTAGAGCTCAGCCAGGGAGGCAATTACAGCATGGATCTTCTGATGGCTTTTAACATTTAAAGCAGTGTTGCCATCAGTGAATCCCCCAGCTTCCGGCCATCCCTTTTAATGAAGCTGAGGGAAATGCCCTGAGCTCAGACGTTACAACAGCACAGCAGTTCCCCCTGCAGCCCTGCCCTGCTTGGGGTGTCACCTGGGGGTGTCCTTAGCACTGTAGGGGACAACAGAGCTCCTGCACCAGGACTGTTCCACTGGTTCTTGGATAATGCCAAGCAAGCATCTCTTCATGTTCTTTAAGTCTCCGCACTCAGAGGGCACTAACCCTGCCTCCTGTGCCAAACAGACAGGTGGGAAGGAAGAACACAACACTGCTCCCACCTTACCTGAGAGGCTCCTGGGTTCAGAGGCCAGCACTCGACAATTAAACCAGTTCTTGCTCTGAGGGCTTTAAAGCTGTGGTGTCAGTTACTCTGCCCTGACAGGGAGGCTCTTTGTAAGCAG